TAGTAATCCTTTTTTATTGAGGATTCTGCCGGAACAGAACGGTGTTTATTTAAGTACTTTTGCTGTCCAACCAGAATGGAATAAACCATTTCGAACTGCAAGTTCTTTCTTAAAAGAGAACATTAGCTGTTAAAAAGGAGGCGGGGGAGATGCTAGCCTCTGGCATGGAAACCCCCTCCCCCCCCCGCGCCCTTAATTCTTTGAGTGTGGTAGAACATTCAAAATTATATATATCCTTCTGCAGTTTCGGATAACACTGCCAGAGTCATAACTTCAGACAATGAGGTTCTAAAATCCATAGGTGATAAAAATGGATTACTTGAGACTGTATGTGGCACGGTTTGTGAATGTTCTGTGCTCAACAAAAGAGGAAGAAGTCATAATTTAAAAAATTAATATTTATTGTACCGCTCTTCCCTTGTTATATTTTACATACATGGAAGTATTGTGGTTCATCACACAATCAGGCAGATGTTCAGACCAGATCTGGCATTTTTATCCACCTATCAAGTCTCCCAATCTGGGATAGGAAGATGTGAATGTTTCATGGTATTAAATGTATTGTCCTTCTGCTATTTTCAGGTGTTTGTATTTTGTGATTATCTCAAGTTCTTTTTTGCTATTTCCAGGTACTGTCAAGTCAACTATCATTTATATAAATATAGAAAAGAAATATAACAGAATTAAACAGAATTTTATCCAAACTTACATTAAGCTGAACATTCCTTCTATAAGTGGAGAAAACTGAGATCTGGCATACACTGGGGAAATATGGAAGCTGTGATCTTTTCCAATTTGATCTTTTGCCATCTATGTCTAGTGCCTATCCATGTTGTCCTAGCAGAATTTGTACCTTCCAGAACACTGCAGGAGGTACTGAAAAACCATCTTGGAAGAACAAAATTCATCTGAGTGCAATTCTTACTCCAATCCCTTGTGTGAAGATAGATCACATTTTGGGCACTCAGCTACCAGCCTATATTTACAGCCATTTGTAATGCTTTGGAGTAACATCACCATGATTTGCAACTTTTTTTTCCGCTAGAAACCAGTGTTTACTTTTGGCTTCCAGCAAAGAAAAACCCATTGTGAACTATGGGCTTGCTTAATGACCACTTAACAACTGCCGTAAAAAAGTTGTAAAATTGGGTGTGGTTACAGGATGACCTGCTTAATGACTGGCTGGACTAAGGACTGGGTTCAATTACTATTGTAAATCAAGACTACCTATAGACAGGTTCTTGCCAGACTAAACCTTTACTACTTTCTCCCTAATGGAGATCCCTAGGAGATTCTAGGGTGTGCTTGTCATTTTCTTCCTCTGTCTCCTATCCAGCTCTCAACTGCCTCTTGTCTCCCTCCTCTTTCTGGAATGTGCTCCCCCCTTCCTATACTTCACTATAGTCCAGGGTTGGCGAACCTTTTTGGCACCAAGTGCTGAACTGGGAGCACGTGCGCATGTGCGTGTGCCAGAAACCGGAAGAGCAGCCACCTGGTGCGCATGCCCGTGCCAGGAAGATGATCTTCTGGTTTCCGGCACATACATGTGCACCGAAAAACGGAAGAGCGAATGTGCATGCCGGGAAGATCTTTGCATGCACGCCAGAAAGCGGAAGACCAGGTGGTTGGCGCACACGCACACGCCGGAAACGAAGATCATCTTCCCTGCATGTGCACCGGTAGCTGCTCTTCCAGTTTCCAGTGCTCCCGCTCATGTGAAGACCAGCTGGCCGGCGTGCCAGAACCCAGAAGAACAACGGGCAACGGCTCTGCGTGCCATTTCCGGCACTTGTGCCATAGGTTCACCATCACGGCTATAGTCCATCATACTAGCTCTCCCTTCATGGGCACCATCTCTCACAGAATGTTGTATTTCTCTGACACTTCTTAAGCCACTTCTTAACACTATAGGGAACAAGTTTCCCATAGAATTTAAAAGAGCATTAAAGTGACCATCTGAGAAAATGCCAGTTTGCATTACATGCTTACTCATGAGTAGCTGAACCATTATTTGTTCAACTAACTCCTTTTTCTCTGATACACTGAACCCGTGGTGGGATTCAGCCAATTCCCACCACTTCGGGAGAACCGGTTGTTAACTTTCTGAGCAGTTTGGTGAACTGATTGTTGGAAGAAATCATTAAGGCAAAGAACCGGTTGTTAAATTATTTGAATCCCACCACTGCACTGAACCATAAATTAACTACATGGACTGAATTCACACAACATATAGGCTATGACAGTGATGGTGAACCTATGACATGCATGTCAAAGTTTTGGTGACTCAGCATTATTGCAGTTTCCCAACACCCAAAAACTATTCTTGAAAGCACACCTTATTCTCATGAGATTTTTGGAGGCTGTAGGGGAGAACTGGTCTCTCTGGAGCCTCCTGGAGGCTCCAGAGGTTGTGCAAGATCACACCCTATTCTTGCCTAGCTTCTTTCAGGTCATTAATGAATTCTGTTTGTGTTTCTGCATGCATATACTTTGAATTCTCAGTGTGAATAGTCTATTGCACATTGTTCTGAACAGAAACAGAATAGCAGAGTTGGAAGGGACCTTGGAAGTCTTCTAGTCCAATCCCTGATCAAGCAGGACACCCCATCCAGAAAAGTGGCTGTCGAGTCTCTTCTTAAAAGCCTCCAGTGATGGAGCTTCTGAAGGTAAACCTGTGGTTAATTGTTCTCACCATTAGGCAATTTCTCCTTAGTTCTAGGTGGCTTCTCTCCTTAATTAGTTTCCATCCATTGTTTCTTGTCTTGCCTACTGGTGCTTTGGAAAATAGGATGACCACTTCCTTGTGGCAACCCTTCAAATATTGAAACACTGCTATCATGTCACCCATAGTCCTTTTTTTCACTAGACTAGACGTACCCAATTCATGCAATTTCTACTGCCTCCGAAAATTGCGTGAGAATGGGGCATGTTTTCACATGGATTTTTGGAGGCTGCAGAGGCTGCCAAAGAGCATTCCCCAAAGCTGCTTCAAGAATGAAGGTCTTATGTGAACTAGAGCAGTCTTGGGTAACTGCAGAGGCCTAGCCAACAGAAAGAGATCATTGCCTGAAGGTAAGTGGCATGTGGCAGATCCTGGGGATCACACACAATTGGACTATATATTTTAAAAATATGAATGGATATGTAAAGAATTATTTCACTTTTGTTCGGGGGAGATGTATGACATGCCAGCAGATTTGGCATTTTCCGAACTTTTTGACAAATTGAGCTCAAAAGATTCATCATCACTGCCCTTAATAGTGTATTGTTTTTAGGATTAATGATATAATGGATTTGAACATAGCAATTATGCATGTTCTTATTATGAAGTATGAATAAATTAAGAATATTCATATTCAGAGACAAAACTGTTCTTCTGTTCATGGATTTAATATCTGTAAAAAAATAAGCTGTTAAAATAACTAAGTTACATAACCATTATATTTATAATATGGAAATCTTTTCTGAAAAAAAATGGAGCTGAAAAAGTCTTAATATTGTAACTGTGTGAGATAATAGCTCAATATATATTTTAATTCAACAGAGTTCTAAGAACCATGTAATATTATCTGCAGCGTAATTTGAATTTGGCATCTGAGAAACATGATATTCCCAAGTACCATATGTGCATTAAGATCCCAGAATAGAGAATGAGCAATGTGCTGCATGACATGTTGCACAGTGACATCAGAATTGCATGGGATTAGTATTAGCTGTAGCTCTTATTATGATCACAATAAACAAAGCAGAATATGTAGACATAGAAAGGAATTTAATGGACAGGTAGGGCATATATATATATTTCTATTTTTTAATTTCTATAATATTTTCTGTTATACAACAAAGTGCACGGAGGGAAGAGTTAATAATATTCTGAGCTTATAATTCTATACATCAAACATCATTATAACCAGGGGTGGGTTCTACTTACCTTTATTACCGGTTCGCATCATGCGCGCGCAGAAGCTTCTGTGCATGCGCAGATCACCTATGATGACATCCGGGTCAGTGGGCGGAGCCTCCCGCTGGTTTTACTACCAGTTCTTGTGAACTGGTCCAAACCGGGGGCAACCCACCACTGATTATAACTGTCTAGGAGTTCAGAATGCTGACTTCCAGCTGCATCAGCCAATAGTAAATGAAGGTTCCTGTTTCCACATAGCCATTAATTGACTTTTAGCTCAGATGCATTGTAGCAAAAATCATAACCTTCCAGTGTAGAGGAAGGTGGTTTTCTATTGGCAGAAGCTCACTCCTCATCTTGCTTCACAACTTGTCTCTCTTAAAATAATCACTTCTTGGTTTATTGTAACAGAACCAAAGCAAAGTGCTTTGGCAGCTTGTCCATTGCTAGATAAAAAAAACCCTACTACTTATTTTCAGTACAGATAGTCCTTGAGTTTGGATCACAATTGGGGTCAGAATTTCCACTGCTAAGCTGTAAAATGAGTGATGCCTGATTTTATGACCTTTTTTGCCATGGTTGTTAAGCAAATCACTGTCGTTAAGTGAATCAGTAAATTTGGCTTGTCAATCGCATGACTCTGGTACACTATAACTATCATATCCCAGTTGCCAAGTGCCCTAATTTTAATCACATGACTCTGGGCATACTGTGATGGTCGCAAATACAAGGACTGGCCATGAGTCACATTTTTTTTAGTGCTATTGTAATTTAAAATAGTCATTAAACAAATGGTTGAAAATCGTGGATTACATTAAAGTTGAACCAATTACCACAAAGTAGTTTTTTTAAAAACTTCATGGTACAGCCAAACTTTATGATGTGGCCTCCATACCATTGACTTGGTCTCTGTGTTGCTCCTAGAATGTATTACATGGCCATATGTTGAACTGGATACAGTCCTGTGGTAGCTTATGAGTGATAACATCAACAACATGTATTGGAAAAACATATAGTCTATTGTTGCTTTTTCCAGATCATCATTCAAACCAAACATTTGGCTTAACCATTTGCAATAAACTGCAAGATATTGTCATTCAAGATATTGACATTTTATTATATATTTATTATGCCTTTTGTGGGACTTAAATTTACAGTTTTGCAACCAAATTTGGAAGGTTTCTGAAGTTTCAGTCTGTAAAAAAGGTAAAAAAAATTCTTCATGTATAAATATATTGGAAGATTAGAACAATTTACTCCAACAAGGTCTAGCTGTAGGATTATATTAATATTTCCCTCTTTGAATTCTTTTAAATGGGAAAGAGATACTGTATTGCAAGATGCACTGGATCAATCAGCAGTGTAAATTGCCATTGCCTTTAGCATCCTTAGATGTGTTAATGCATATTTATTTCATAATTACAGAACACAATTTGTTTATCTAAGTTTCCTAAAGTGCCATCTGTAACTAATAATGTCTTTATTAAACACACATATATAGTATGTATGTCTCTTCAGAAAAATATATCAATAACCTCTTTTCCTTCCTGATTGATATGTGCAGTTGCATTCTCACAAGCAGTCTACTCAGAAGAAAAAAAGAAGAGGTAGAATTTGGGCTTAAGTGATATGCAGTACTGCAGGCTATTTCTGCTGACTGCTGGCTGCCAGCAGTTCACTTCTCACTGGCTCAAGGTTGACTCAGCCTTCCATTCTTCCAAGGTTGGCAAAATGAGGACCCAGGTTGTTGGGGCAATAGGCTGACTCTGTAAACTACTTAGAGAGGGCTGTAAAGCACTGTGAAGCAATATGTAAGTAAATGCTATTGCTAGTGGGTGCTTAACACTAATTTGTATACATGGGGCTCTTCTTCATGGCAGAGTCATAGTGCCATCCACCAGTCCTTGAGGCAGCAAAAAAATCTTAACAAAATAAAATCTGCTGCTCCTTGTGACCCCCTCCCCCCGTGTGCCATTTGCATTTATGGCAGGCGTACTGTGTACAGGGCATGTTAAGGACATGTTTGATCCCATGGCTTTGTTTCCTTCCCTTTCCACCAAACTTCATCAGTTGGCAGGAAAATGTATACCAAATATGCTGAGGTGGAACAGAGGTGAATCCGAGGTAAGTTTTTTACGGATTGCTGGAGTAGCAACCTTACCCATTTATCAAAGCCCACTCTGGTTTGGCACAGATTACTTGGGCATGCTCAAAGCTGATGATCAGGCTCCTTTTGAAAGGGGCCTAGCACTACTAATCCTGACAATTTGTCCAAGATAGTCTGATTCGGAATAGCATTAAGCTGCTGTCCAAAAGAACACACCTGTACAGGACTCTTGTAGCAAAACTATGAGATTCCTTTTTGACACTAGTTTAACTTCATTCAGATGAGTGCTACATCCACTTTCAAGAAGTGTGCACAACAACTGACAGTAGCTAGGTAAATTGCATCATGAAGCAGCAGCAAAGAAAGAAACGGTCGTCTTCTATTTCAGTAAGGAGTCCTCAGCCACTCTGCTGTTTCAGGTCGATTCAGGTCTCCGAACTTGGAAGATGCAGCCAGGACAGGGCCCTGGAAAACAAGACTGACAGACACGAAAGGTGGGGATACGCCTGCCCCAGCCTAAAGTGGTGAATAGGGCAGGGATGATCCCATCCTGGGAGGGGGGGGAGGTTTTACCTGCCTCTTAATACCGAGGTTGACGGAGTATGTCAAATTGCACAAAAGCCTAAACTGCTGCGGGTTGTTGCCTGCTTCATACGGTACATGTTTTTGGAGACGAGATCAAAACAGTGTCATGAGGGCACGGCAGAAAAGTTGCCCGGGCACGTTCTTGGCGTGCATCGGAGAAAGCGGTGAAAAAGACCCGAGCTCTGAAATTGCAATGATCCGAGCATGCGCTTTGGAGCCCTTCTTGGGGTGCAAAATCTCCCATCCCCGATTCGCCGTCTTCATTTCCTCATCGGCATCCGGGCGCGAGGATACCGTAGCGAGATTTAACCAGACCCGTACGCGGGTGCGCGCGCGGGCTCGTCAGAGCGAAAGGGAGGGGGCGGCCCGCATCGCGGCTCGGAATCTCGCGAGAGAATCTCCCGCTTCCTCCCCCCCCACCCCACTTTCCTTTAGACGGATCAGGATTCTTCGAGATTTCTCTGCGCTGCCGCTTCGCCTGTCCCTTTCCCCCCGCCCCACCAGCGCGAGGAGGCATCCGGAGTCGCGTGCTGCGGCAACCCATTTAAACAGTCGGAGCGGCCGCTCCGGGTGAACTGCGAGAGGCTCCCACGGCGGTGAACTTGTTTCCTCCCCCTCAGGCGGCGGCCGCTCAGGATTCTTCTTTCTCCTCCGCTCGGCTCTAGTTTCTTCGTCTGCCCGGCCAGCCGGCCCCGTGTGATCTTCTTTTGAAGTAGGCCTCTCGGGCCTCTCTCCGGCATTTCTCTCCCTCGTCCCCGAAGGCACCATGTCCGTGCTGGGAATCGATCTGGGCTTCCAGAGCTGCTATGTGGCCGTGGCCCGCGCGGGGGGCATCGAAACGATCGCCAACGAGTACAGCGACCGCTGCACCCCGTGAGTAAACTTCTCCAGCGGGAAGCCGGGGATCAAATTTAAGGCGAAAGCTCCGGGATATGGGGTGGCGGGGGAGACGCCGCAGAGGGGGCCAGGAAACGCCGCAAACTTGTCAGAGGTGCGGTCACCCCCGAGCGCCGGTGGCCTAGAAAACGCCGCCATCCTCCCTTAAGCTCTACCTTCTCCTTAGAATTGGAAAGTGGTAAGAGGTGATTATCACCCGTAGCGGCCACACCTTTGGGTTTTCAAAGCAGAGGGAACGGGGGGGGGAGGGAAGTGCGCCCTTAATTCGTGAGTAATGCGAGGTGCTGCTGCGCCTAGGAGGAATACTTTTCCCCCCCTCCTCCTCCTGCTCTCTCCCCTCCGCTCCACATAGAGGTGTCCCTGGAAAAAGGGAAGGGAATGGGTTCGGCAACGGCCAGTGGAGGAGCTGGCTGCTTGGGCAGAGGAAGGGGAAAGTAACCCGGTTTAAATAAATGTTTCTGAAGCTGCCTTCCTTATAACTGCGGCATGCCTCGAGGGATCGGCGCTGTGATTTGAAAGATCATCCTAACCGACAGTGAAATTGTTGGGAAAAAATAAGCTAATCCACCAGGAGCTTTCACAGTTTATATATAAATCAATATGATTATTAAGTTTGTATTTTTATTTTTTATTTGCTCGGAGAAGGCGGTATTGTTCACATAATTGAAAATAGACGGGGGTGGGAGGATGGAGGTTTCATCTAGTCTGAAGGGAATTTCATGAGTGAATTTCATCTAGTGTAACTTCAGTGCTGTTCTAGAAAGATCCTAGCTAATACTATTTTAAAGATAACGTCCTGTACAGGGTAAGTAAAGTCAACTTGTAAAATATGTGCAGTGCATATACCCTAATGAAGTAATATGGTGAGGATAGGACTGGACTTTGGATCATCAATGGGTGATTTGCAGTAATGTTGTAAAATGTATTCATTGTTTAATACTAGCATCAACAGAATGTCTCTTTCCCTCCAATCTTTCATTGTACTTTGATATCTGTATACAATTCTAATTTACAATTTTTGTATGCTGCTTGGTTCTAAGTTGTTGCACTTAAATATTTTCTTTCCAATGCTGCTCTTTCCCTTCCAACTATTTTTAATATTTTGTATTGAAATGAAAAACTCCATTCTATTTAATTTTATTTAAACGAAGAATGTAAATTGGAAGTGATCCAAAGAAGTTCATTAAAGATAATCAGAGACTGGGAATTTGGTATCTTTACTTTTGAAGAGAAGGTTGAGGAGGGATGTGAGAGCTGTTTTCTTGTATTTGAAGGAGTGCCATACAAAAAAAGGCTGTGACAGACAAAGCATAATTGTATTACTGTTACAAGAAAAAAGGTGGTGATTGAATGTTATTTTTAAGTTTACAAAGGAACAGTTGACAATAGAATCAATAAGGAGAGGTGGTGGGCTTTTCCTTTACTGGATGTGTTTCTTTCTACACTGAACATGAGGTTGGATTCCATTATTTTACCTAAATTACCTCTTGCAAATCTCTGCTTTCTTGGGCAGAGGCTATTTGTCTTCATGGAAATAAATTTAGTTTAGTGTGATTTGTCAGATGGTAAACTATTCAGTGAGAAACGTAAGTGTTAGTATATCCTTCAGTTTAGTAGTGGGGAAACTTTAGCGTCCCTAATTCTTAATCAGCCCAACCAGCGTGCCCAGTTGGGGTGATATAAGTTGTAGTGTAGCAACATACAGAAAGCCAGAATTCTGCCATAAAAGCTTTGATTACATCAAGAAAATTAATTCAGACAGGTTAATGGAACCAGCTATAGTGTACTCTAGCTATCCACTTAGTTGGCTTATCATCTGATGTTGCTTCTACTTGCCTTAAAGATGCTAGAAACCCTTTTTTAAACTTCACATTAGAGAGCTCTGATCTAGCATTTTGGTGTGGGAAATTTTATAAACCTTGGAAATAGGATAATTGTAAAGTCTACATTTTAGAAAAGGTAATATTGTATTCTGGATTTATTTTAAATTATATTTATATAGTTTTCATATATATTCCATTTTGTAAATAAATTGCCTGTTATAGCTGCGCAGTATTTACATTTCTGTTTTTTTTTTCTCAGTTTAATCTATTACATGCACATAGTATAGCCTTTATTGTCATTGTACATCATGTATACAACAAAATTGGTTATTTGCATATCCTTCATCCTTCCTTTATGTACTTATTTTGATCTGTGCATTTTTCTCTTCCTTACTGTGTCATGTTCAGTATGTATTTTTTATAAACTGAACTTGGTCATTTCTCAGACCAATTATATTGCAAACGTTTGTTTTTCCTAAGAAAAATTAATTATATCTCTGAAAATGAAGAAGTTTAGTTTTATGTTTCTTGATTCTTTGAATATGTTCAAATATGTCCATCTGTTTCAATGGTCTTGTACCATAAGTTTTGTTAAAAGACACATTATATTAGTAATAGTTTGCATTCTTGGCTGGTATTAACAGATTTGGAAAGAAGACATTTAAAATTTGATAGTGTAGAATATATTGCTGAGAAATATATGATGTAAGAGCCATTTGGTGTAGTGGTTAATGTGCTGGCCTAGAAACCAGGAGACTGAATTCTAGTCCCTCTTTAGGCATGAAAGTTAGCTGGGTGACTTTGGGCCAGTCATTCTCTTTCAGCCCACCTCACACAGTTGTTCTGGGGAAAATAGTATCATGTTGAGTTACTTATAAAGGCAGGATAAATAAATTATTTTTCAGTGTTAGGCAATGTGAGTTTGAGCAGCAATGCATACTGCTTTAAAATAAGTTATTCTGTACTGTATATCATTCTATCTGTAATTTATAAGTATTGAGTGCAGCAATAAAACAGGCATCTTTTTCAGTGCACCATGTTTTTCATGGGGCATACTTGTGGTTTTCAGTTTTTGAATGAATTCCATAACACACATCTTCTGTGGGATGAGATAGCATGTTTACCAAATTCATTTAATCAGACACAGAGGTTTTCTAACTATTGATATTATAGTGTCGCATAGTCACCTAAATGTTTAGACTGGATCTGGCATTTTTGTCCATCTATCAAGTCTGTCCCAAGGATTATTATTATTATCAAATTTTATGTGCTGCTTATCTCTTGGTTCAAGGCGACTCTGAAGATGACACTGAAAAGATAAAATATTACATATGTTGTCTCTTCAGGCTCCCTTGAAAATCAGTTTCTTAAAAATAGGAGACACTTGGGAAAGATTTAACTAATTCCTGTTAAATCTTAAATCCAAGTCAGTAACATGATGAATAATAATCATAAAATCATTTGCCTATAAATTTATCTATAAAAAGTTCATCCAACAAAAAAGCTAACTTTTTGGAGAAAATTAGGTGGACTGTGTTAAATGGATAACAAAAATGATTGATGTTCCATAGAAGAAATTTTAATTTACCAAGATTTATTTATTTATTAGATTTAAATCTCACCTTTCGTATTTTATCAGCATGGTAACTCAAAGCAGGAAACATACACAATATTCCTTTCCTCCTTCTCTTTTCCCCACAACAAGATGACACAAACCTATTAGGAAATTTGTTCTAATTTAAAAAAATGATCTTTGTTAATAAATTCATTGAGTGCACATCTTTATTAAGTTTCGTATCATTTAAGCTTACTAATAGTTTTATTTTTGAAACCTATATTGAAACTGAAGTACTGTGATCTAACTTTTCAAACTACTTTTTTATTTTATGTTAGGTCATGTATATCATTTGGACCCAAGAACCGTTCAATTGGAGCTGCAGCCAAGAGCCAGGTAAGGCTTTTATGTTAATCTTTTAATAATTACATAATTGCTAGAAAAACATGAAAACATTGAATCATTAATTTTTTCTCTGTGTTAAAACAGTTGTGTTAAATATTTTGTATTCAGGCTTAATGAATTTGACTTCTTGAAACATTTATGTTTTCTATACTATGTTTGCTTATCCTATTAAAAATATCCTAACTTGGTGAATAATTTGAAGTATATTCTGGAATCCAAATGGGAAATTTTTATACTTGAGTAAACTAATGCCATACATCTCTCTTGTGCATTTCTTTCCTGTTCTGGTGGTTTCACTTTTCTCAGCAATTGAATTTAAGAAGGGATTTAGTTGCTAAAATGAGGCCACCACCCACCCACCCCATTCCTGATTCTCGATGAAAGACTTCCAGAAATATACAAACCACACTTGTAAAATTTCTATTGGCCCATTCGATGAAGAGAAAGTCCAGATCTGAATTGTTCCAACATAAAATTACAAGGGGGTTGTAATACCCCTCTTATTATATGTTCTTTATTTTATAGTTCTTGCATAAGTTTAGAAGTGGCATGATTTATCTATGATTATGAATTATAACTATCTTTTGCTTTAATATTTGAATACTATTATAAGACTGTTGTGTTTTAGCCAATTATGGTTG